CTAGCAGCTCATCTCTAATTTCTCTCGTTTTGGGGGCGAAGTCTTTCGCGATGTTGATACATTTTCCCTTCAGCTTGTAGGCTTGTTTCAACACGTTCTCCTTGTCTTTAAAATACGTGAATTTGACTATAATTCGGCTGCCTTTAGCTCTCGACCTTAGTCGATGTGCTCTTTCAATGGCGATATTGCGATCCAAATCCAATCTCGAATCTTACCTTGGTTTGGTCCCAATTTTCACGTTGTAGATCCTGGGTAATACCTTTGAAAATTAGGTTGTTTCTTCTAGAGTTGTTCTTAAGCCGTTAAATTTGATCCTTTAGCCTTTCCATTTCATCGCTAAGGTCGTGCCGGTAAATTTGCAATTTCTCCTCCATAACTGAAATACGCCGTTCAATGTTATCCAATTTAGGCGTAAGATGGTCTGAGAGGTTTGCAATTTCCTCTAGAATGAGCTTGATATCATTACGTGTTACTGTACTATCTGTACTGCCTTCGCTGGATATTAGAAGCTGCTGCACCTGCCTAGCTTTCCCACGTGTAGTCATTGGAATTCAAATTTAGTACGCTACGGAGCGATAAAAAAAAACCACGTCTGTTCTCCACGACTGCCCGATCAAGAAACCATATGATAGCATTGAACACAAGTTATCAGTTATCAGAAAAAACAACTAAAATTGTGAACATATGCATCACCTATAAAACAGCATGCTCAAATAGACTATCCTTTGTAATAGGAAATGGAGATATAGAGCTAAAGATTGTGAAGCTTTTAGTGCATTTTCAACTATTGGTTCAAATCATAGAATAGTGACTGCTAAATTTATACTTAGTCTTAGGACATACCACGATAAAAACAAAAATCAGATATGACTGGGAAATGTTTACTGATAAACAAAAACATACAAATGGAATATCAAAAACATGTTGAATCTAAGTTCAAAGTGTACAATAATAAAGACAATAAGAAACGGCAACTTCTATATATTAATAACATTATATTAGCACATAATAAATCGACCAAATTGAACATACCAAAAAGGAAAAGAACAAAAAAATATGGGTCAACCCTGGGAAAATCAATGTT